ATTTTATAGGATTATTTATAATATTATTCACGAATTTCTGTCATCATGTTTTTCAAGGCACCTCTTCCAGAAACGTTACTGTACCTATGAATCGTAATAAACTACGTGAAAATGTCAAACAATTTCCAGAAACTATTAAATAAAACTTTATATATATATATATAAATATAAACTTGTAAACAATATAAACTTGTCAAATAACAATATTTACTCCGAGTCCAAATGGATCCGGGCCTCGCAGTTCGAGTGTTAAGCATTAAATATCTGTAGGAGTGGGGTGCGGGAACGTGATGCACAACTGGTAATATTTCAATAAAAATGTATTACTGAAAATGGATAAGAATTGCAAACACTTTATGGTCGCACAAATCGCTAGATCGTTTTTATGGGTGGTATATCGCTCTATTGGTGTATCGCTTTATCGTTGCATCGTATCGCTATTTCGTAAAAGACGTTAAAAACTCTTTGTCGCAGTTCAACGTTCGTCATTTTTATACGCACCTTCCGTTTTGACAACAATTCGGAAGGCTTTGGCCTTCCCAGTTCATTGCTCCTATTCGGTGTGTTTACGTTTCAGCTTTTTCAAAGATGACCTGCTTCGACCATATGATCAGCTTGCTCCGGTCATTGATCCCTTCACATAACATTCGCCGATTTATTGTCATACATAATTTTTAGTTAAACGTGCAATTATTTTGTCGAACTATATGTCCACAAAGATTTTCTTTTTTTTTCAAATAAAATTGTTTAGACCGACGAAATTCAATTTTTATTTTATTTATGTATGTTTATAACGGTATTTTGCAAGTTTGCCTAGAAAGAGAACCATGGTTGTAATCTTAAATAAATAAAATTTACATTAACCCTCGCATAATGGTGGCTAGCTCAATCTTCGACAATTAAATTAAATAAATTGCTGTTGCATTATGAACAACAGGAAGGTCAATAAATCTGTAAGAAATATTTTCGAAAATATGTTGTGAAAAGTTGCTGAACGGAGCTCTCAGAATTGTTATAAACATCGTTGATAGTACAGTTGTGAAAATGGTCTGTCGTCCGAGGGTTAATTTTAACGTGTGCTATTTTTTGGTAGCAGACTGTACAGACTGTAACATCGTATCTGCTGCTCCAATTTTACAAATTTCTTCGGATGTATTAACGAATTAAGATAACAAATCATACTTACACGTGTCTGCTCATCCCCAGAATGTGAATTCGATCGTACAAGTAGTAACGACAAAACATACATATTATAAACAAATCATAAAATCGTGAAAAAAAAGAGATATGTAACGACATCGATTGTAAATAAGTAATAATTTTTGAAATGTCAAACTTCTTGGAAACGTATCGTTAAATAATTGAGGTATAAAATTCGTAATAAGAATTTTAAAAAAATTATTTTTGCAACTCTTCAACTTAATTTTATAAGGCATTCAAATACTTATGTGCCGTGAAAATTCTATGTTTTTTTTTTATATTTTGTTTAAATTATGTANGTTTATAGCTATTGTCTAGTAAATTAATCCCTCTAATATTCCAAAAAAATTTAGGTCATTTGGCCTAATAACAAAAAAATTATTTTGTTCTAAAGGATGTACAAATACTTTCTACATCCACTGTAAGTACATATACAGGGTGGACCGCGGAACGTGATCATCTTAATTCATTCTGTGGATCAATTGAACATTTTTTGCTTATATCAATGATGATGATGATTGTAACAAATTTGTTGTCAACCCTTATTTTTCGGGGGGAGTTATGTTAGCAGGGTTCAGGATAATCTCTACAAGTTATTCGCATTAAAAATATAAAAGTTAAAATTATTAATAATGCTTGATTCTCTATCTGCTTACATTCAGAGCTGGGTAACATTTATAGAGAAAATATTTGAAATACTATTTTAAATAATAGATTCTTCTCAATTCAAACTTGTACTTCAAGTAGGATATAAAATTTCAGTAGATACAATATCTTATTTTGATAATCCACGTCTAAAGCATGAAATAAATGTTCTATTTTCTATAATGTAAAACGTAAAATAAGATGGTAATCTCTGAAGTTAAATCGTGAAGACAAGTATTTGATTTTGAGAATCTAAAATATAAAATAAAATACTTTTTATTTTAATAACATAAATCGTAAAAACAAATGAAATTTATCGTCTTTTTAAATACAGCTATTCACGTGTAACGAAGTGTATACTTTTTTTTTGTATACTTTCTTAAATAAATTTATTTAAATTTATTTGAATTTATTTTAATCTATTTAAATTAATTAAATAAATAAAATATTCCGAACTATGGCACAAATATTTTAAGTATTCTCCAAACAAAATATTATCTTAATAATTAAATTATTAATTTAATAATTTGTTATGACGAATAAAATATTTTATTTTTAAAAGTACATATATTCTTTCGGACGAATAAAATATTTTGTCTTCAAGAATATATGCATGATCTAAAATAAAAGATCTGTTTACTACTTGCTATTTGAAAGACTATTTTACCCAGCTCTGCTTACATTGTATGTCTTTGATGTTCGAGGCTCGACGCTCGGCAACGCGTTCATTCGAGCTGGCAAAAGTTACTTGAAGATTTATTCGAACGGTTAATTAAATAATTTTTTATCGAAAGAATGCCGAAAACCAAACTTTGTGCGATTTTTAGCAAAAACGAAGCATTGTGTGCACGATATCTAAAACCGTTAGAAAGGTCATATATATTCGCCTAAAAGGTAAAGGAAAGGTTTCTGAATATGCCAGTTGTATCGATATTTATGATATTTTTTGCCGCGCGCGCGGCTCCGAATCGTCGTAAACGCGTTGGCGACGGATATTTCCTCGACCTGTACGAATTTAATACCGCTTCGACACATTTTCTCCATAGTTACTTCCTCGGAAACATTTACAGAATCAGACGCAGTGGTCAGTTTTCGTGTCACCTAATGAATTTCTTCGTAAATATGCAAACATATTACGTAGGAAATACGTTCTCCGGTATTTCTTTTAAACTTTGACGGTTATTTAACACAATTTCGAAGCATAAAATATTATAGATGACGATACTGACATATACAGGAACCTTTCCTTTATCTTTTAAACCAATATGGCCTCTATAACATTTTTATTTTACGTGCAATACACTTCGTTTTTGCTAAAAATCATACGCTCTCCCGGAAATTCGTGGTTTCTGAAAACTGGGGATGAGAGAGCAATTCGGTTTTCGGATTTACGTTTGGGAAGTGACGCTCTGCAAGTATCGCCCAGCGGTTATTAGAACGCAAAAAATAATTCTTGATTTGTTGAACAGTGTAATAAGTGGACTGCGGATTTTTATGTAAAATAAAAATTATCATCATTAATTGCAAGATGCAGGAACTACATAAATCTTCATTTAACTCCTTAATAATTTTAATTAGTTGACAATAATATTATTGAATCGCTCAAATGCTTCTGTTATTTTGCATTTGAAATATTTATTTTTGTCATACATGCATAAAGATCCGCACTCTAGTAATAAATATCTATCGACATCCAGTGACTCGCATTAATATTCGGACACCATATTGTTAGAAGAACTATTGCTCCTTTTTATTGTTTAAGATAGTATTATTAAATCAATTGTTTTCTCATATAATAAAGCACTTCTGTCTGATTTAAGACTGTCGGTCTTAAATTTGAAACCACCAGTTGTCTTTGTAAAAATATTCTTTTGCAAATTTGCGAAACAAAAAGAAATTTTATATAAAATTAATGTAATTCATTCACTGTCCGAATATTTTTGCGACGTAGAATTTTGTCACAATCTTGTTTATCGCTTATTATACAAAAAACCATGTGGAATAACTAAACAAAACTTACTTTAAGAAGTGCTTTATTATATGAGAAAACAATTGATTCAATAATACTATCTTAAACAATAAAAAGGAGCAACAATTCCTCTAACAATGTGGTGTCCGAATATTAATGCGAGTCACTGTATCTATCGGTGTTAACAATTTATATGGTTGGCCCATGTCACAGCATTTACCACACAGAGGTTTTCGATGGGTCAATCATATATGTACACTCAGACACGAAAGTATTCGTACACTCTCACTTCTACGCCATGTATTTAAATAAATATACATACAAAGGAAAAAATCTTTTATGGTATATTAAAGCAGAGCTTAAAAATATCAAAATACAAAAAACATCGAATTTTCACGGCGCACAAGTATTTGAACGCCTTATAAAATTAAATTGAAAAGTTATAAAATAATTTTTTTTAAATTCTTGTTACTGATTTTATACCTCAATTATTTAATGATACGTTTCCAAGAAGTTTGACATTTTTAAAATTATTACTTATTTACGATCGATGTCGTTTCATATCTCTTTTTTTCACGATTTTATGATTTGTTTATAATATGTATGTTTTGTTGTTACTACTTGTACGATCGAATTCACATTTTGGGGATGAGCAGACACGTGCAAGTATGATTTGTTATCTTAATTCGTTAATACATCTGAAGAAATTTGTAAAATTGGGGCAGCAGATACGGTATTACAGTCCGCGACCAAAAAATAGCACACGTTAAAATTAACCCTCGGACGACAGACCATTTCACAACTGTACTATCAACGATGTTTATAACAATTCTGAGAGCTTCGTTGAGCAACTTGCAGATCTATTAGCCTTCCTGTTGTTCCTAATGCAACAATAATTTATTTAATTTAATTGCCGCAGATTGCCCCAGCCACCGTTATACGAGGGTTAATGTGAATTTTATTTACTTAAGATTACAATCATGGTTTTTTTTCTATGCAAACTTGCAAACTTACCGCTATAAACACACAAATGAAATAAAATTGAATTTCGCCGATCTAAACAATTTTATTTGAAAAAAGAAAAGAATCTTTATGGACAAAAATGGATGGGCATAATAATAGCACGTTTAACTAAAAATTATGTATGATATGTATCATATGTTCGAAAAATCTGAAACGTAAACACGCCGAATAGGAGCAACGGCCACTTTATGGGGATGGGCAAACACATGCAAATAATAATTTGTTATGTCAATTTGTTAATGCATCCGAAGAAGTTTGTAAAATTAGAATTCATTTTGGCCCATTTGCCCGCTAATATTGATGTAATATACAAAAATCAATCGAAACGGTTTAATTTGCCAGGACGCATACGAGATGATAAAACGCGATATCTTTCGATATGGTACAAGTAATTGTGGTGAAAATAACATGTACGGTGTTGCGATCGCGAACAACAAAATGATCGGATTATAATATTGAATTCATAAGTCTTAGCGCGAAAATGTATATCACTCATTTGCATAACGACGACAACTGTAACGATACTTGCTATAAAATTAAAAAATTAAAGGGTATTAATGTATAATTAGCATAAAACCGTTCTCGTAGGTTGCCTTGGTTCGTAAAATCAAGTCTCGTCCACTCTCAAAAACACTGAGAATATCACGAGCCATCCAACTGCAAGACATTGCCGTCGCTGCTGTCGTCATCTTCCTGAAAGCTGACATGAAAAACCGAAATGCAGATCATCAAGGACATCGCCGTGATATACAAAATAATAAGGCACCTCAGGATTTTTTGGTATGAACATCTATTTGTACATATATATGGAAAACAACAAAATAAGGTAGTAGTTTTGACGTAATATATGAAGAAATTAAATAAATCTCTACTCTTATGGTGCAGTAATTTCTCTTCTCACATTATCGCTCAGCCTGGGAACGAGAATGAACAACTTCGGAAGAGGAAATACGATTATAATTGCCGATTATTAATAACCATGAAAACGAGCAGCGAGGCTCGAATAATCGTGTCTCCCATTCCTAGGTTATCCATTTTCTTTCAAGCTGAGGGACAATGTAAGAAAATTTACTGCAATGAGGTAAGTGTATCAATTACTGTGACCATTAAATTAAATTGCTTTTTTTACGCATACCGCACTTCTTAAAACATTTTAATTATATGTTGATGTGTTTTATACATATAAATACGAATTTGTTCATAAGTAAAATATGTAAACAATACGAAATATTTCACAGTTTTTGAGCGAGTCACTCTGCCCTTAGAAGGATAAAAGATTAATCATCGTGTCAGTTATTCAGCCTTTTCTAGTTACTGTGTGTCAATTTTTGTACATCGATGTAATTACAGTGATCAGTTCTAGGTTCTAAATAATCCGTTAACAAAAATGTGAAAACGTAAAATATTCCGTACTAAATTATTTCGCATAATTTATTATATGTGTTTTAATACTTACGATATTATTAAAAAAGGAATATCACGTGTAGCGTGTACACATTTCACAGAGCAAGAAAGTAAGCTAAGACGTAACACGTGGTTCGGTACGAGAGGGTTCGGTAAACAAGGCACGCATCGTAAAAGACAGTGCACAGCAATCGAAACAAGACGTAAATTTGTTTCAGTTACTGAATTACTTTAAATAAAATAATATATCGAAGAGGTCGATTATATTATTGTTTTTTCTTTGTAATTTTATCCAGTTTTATGAATATAATAGTTTTTTTTTACTGGTAAGATGATTTTATATTTTTTACATCTTTATTTGCACATTAAACCATTGTCAGAAATTTAAAAAGTTAATCTCCACATTTTATAGGTCTTAAGAAGTTTAACTTTCGATTTGATTATGAAATTTACAAATTTTATTCAAAAAATTCAACATCTTTAATTTAATAATGTTGTTTTTAAATACAAGTAAAATTATTGTGAGGATTCAGTAACTAGGGGGGGGGGGTGCACAGTAATTGACACACTCACCCTATTTAATGTAAATCTGAATTCGTTGCTTCGATTTTGTTGACATTGTCGAATAAATCGATCTTCTTTTATAGTGATGCAGCGTGTCCGACCGCGACGTCATATCTTTCACTATGTCCTGCGATAAATATTTATAAATTTCCATTGCATTTTTAGACATACCATACTTCCGTGCTTCTGGTGGAAGAAGTTTACTGTAAATTTAGACCATCTGAACAAAAATAAAATAACTAATTAACTACTTTTATGCAGGGCTGGAGAAAATTTCAAATAATTTCAAATAGTAAATATAGAAATATTTGCATAAGTAAATATCCTTTGGAAATACTATTTCATTTAATGCTTGAATGAAGTACCATTTGGAAATACAATATCATTTAATGCTGAAACGAACTATTGTTTGGAAATATTATTTCATTAAATGTTTAAAATATGAGAAAATACTATTTATCATTTATATTCGGATTTAAATATAGAGTAATGTATTTGATTCGAATGATGTCGTCCAAAATGGAAAGTTCGTTGGTTACCTCACAATGAAAAAGACACTAAAATACCGTTTATGAAAAACAAATTAATAAAATCGATGCTCACATGAGAAGACAAAAGTATTCATAACGTTTTTACTATTTAAAAAATCTATTTTTCCCCAACCTTGCAATTAAGATTATAATGAATTGTATAATAAATTGAAGTTCGAACCTTTAATCACTTGTTACATACAGTGACTCTGATTAATATTCGAACACCTTTTAAAACGCAATAAATTTTTTAGAACTCAACCAAACTATTTGAATTTTTTTTAGAAGGTAGAGGGAATAGCTAGAATGCTTTTTTTAAATTTTGCTATTGCCTGGAACGACAAAAAAAATTAAAAAACTCGACTTTTCTAACACTATCATCCGAACCCATAACGAAAATTAAAAAAATACATTTCAATACCTACGACCAATAAAAGTGTGAGAAATTTACAGTTTTTTAAATCTTCTAACGCTTATAACTTGACTTTGCTTTAACCGATGTTGATGAAATCTCCAGCATGCGTATAAACTCAACATGATCTATAGAACGCATTTTTCAAAATTTTCGTTATAGGCTCAGATATAAAAAGTTAAAAGATTAAAAAAATTCAAAATTCAAAAATAGAATTCTAGTTAGGGTCTAGTAGACAGATCTCTCTGTCACCTAATATTATTGCATTTTGAAAACTGTCCGAATATTAATCAGAGTCACTGTAAATAATTGTGATCACAATTATATCGTGTTTAGTTTAATTTTAATCAGCAAAACAAAGACAAAATCGACGATACAAGTTGCATACCAAAGAATCGGGAATTAAAAAGGTTGCAACGTTGTGCCTCGCTTGCATCAGTTCGAATCGTAGTCTCGCCGACATTCTACCCTATGCTGGCTTGGTGGTTAAGCGTGTTTAAAACGCAGAAAACATTTTCGTTAAGAAAACGGTTTCTTTAAATGACCTCAGGAATCAGCCCTCTGAGGCTATTCGAAACGTTTTCGGACATTCTACATAAGAAAAAGCGCCGCGAGGCCAACGAGCGAATCGTTATTGTAGTCGCATCGCGGATTCGTGAGTAAACAGACCGATCACCGAAAAACATAGACGCAGCTCGCTGTCTCACTGAAATTCATTACACACGATCCTACTCGAAGTAGGACATCTAAAATTCTCATTTAATTTTACTTCCTGCGAAAACAAGCATTTTCAAAACAGGAGCAATGGAACGTCCTGGTGAATGTGACATTTGTGGGAGGATTACGATCACTAAGTGTTCCGGCTGCGAAAGTATATATTACTGCTGCCCGGAACATCAGAGGAGGGGTTGGAGGAGACACGGTAGATTCTGAAAACCATTCAAGGAAAGACTATTATTGTTTCATTTGAACAGGGTTGGGGAAAAATAGATTTTTGAAATAGGAAAAACGCTATAAACATTTTTGTCCTCCTGTGTGATACAGAATTTGGTAACTAAATTTTCTTTTGAAATAGTAGTCACACATGGAAATAGCATTGCAAATATATACCTTAATGATAGCACGTGGAAATATTATTCCAAAGTAAATATTTCATTAAAATATAAACAAAATAATATTTCATCAAGTGGTAATGTTTCACAAAACAGTATTTAGAATAATGGTATTCCAAGTAAATTGTATTGCAAATAAGACTTTTTTATCCGTTAACTTTTCATTGTGCCATGTACCTACTTTTACCGACAATGTAAATTCATTTTGTTTATAAGTGACCGATAATAGTATCGTTAACGTAAGACGTTTATTTTCTGGGTAAATAACTGAAAACATCATAGAAGAATAATTTCAAACGTGCTATCTTTGAATAAATATTGTTGACGTATTTTAGGAATTTCGGTATTATATATTCGAAATTTCGGTACTATATTTTCGAAGTAGATTTTTAATTGTAATTTTATAGGATTATTTATAATATTATTCACGAATTTCTGTCATCATGTTTTTCAAGGCACCTCTTCCAGAAACGTTACTGTACCTATGAATCGTAATAAACTACGTGAAAATGTCAATCAATTTCCAGAAACTATTAAATAAAACTTTATAAATATAAACTTGTAAACAATATAAACTTGTCAAATAACAATATTTACTCCGAGTCCAAATGGATCCGGGCCTCGCAGTTCGAGTGTTAAGCATTAAATATCTGTAGGAGTGGGGTGCGGGAGCGTGATGCACAACTGGTAATATTTCAATAAAAATGTATTACTGAAAATGGATAAGAATTGCAAACACTTTATGGTCGCACAAATCGCTAGATCGTTTTTATGGGTGGTATATCGCTCTATTGGTGTATCGCTTTATCGTTGCATCGTATCGCTATTTCGTAAAAGACGTTAAAAACTCTTTGTCGCAGTTCAACGTTCGTCATTTTTATACGCACCTTCCGTCTTGACAACAATTCGGAAGGCTTTGGCCTTCCCAGTTCATTGCTCCTATTCGGTGTGTTTACGTTTCAGCTTTTTCAAAGATGACCTGCTTCGACCATATGATCAGCTTGCTCCGGTCATTGATCCCTTCACATAACATTCGCCGATTTATTGTCATACATAATTTTTAGTTAAACGTGCAATTATTTTGTCGAACTATATGTCCACAAAGATTTTCTTTTTTTTTCAAATAAAATTGTTTAGACCGACGAAATTCAATTTTTATTTTATTTATGTATGTTTATAACGGTATTTTGCAAGTTTGCCTAGAAAGAGAACCATGGTTGTAATCTTAAATAAATAAAATTTACATTAACCCTCGCATAATGGTGACTAGCTCAATCTTCGACAATTAAATTAAATAAATTGCTGTTGCATTATGAACAACAGGAAAGCCAATAAATCTGTAAGAAATATTTTCGAAAATATGTTGTGAAAAGTTGCTGAACGGAGCTCTCAGAATTGTTATAAACATCGTTGATACTACAGTTGTGAAAATGGTCTGTCGTCCGAGGGTTAATTTTAACGTGTGCTATTTTTTGGTAGCAGACTGTATCTGCTGTACATCGTATCTGCTGCTCCAATTTTACAAATTTCTTCGGATGTATTAACGAATTAAGATAACAAATCATACTTACACGTGTCTGCTCATCCCCAGAATGTGAATTCGATCGTACAAGTAGTAACGACAAAACATACATATTATAAACAAATCATAAAATCGTGAAAAAAAAGAGATATGTAACGACATCGATTGTAAATAAGTAATAATTTTTGAAATGTCAAACTTCTTGGAAACGTATCGTTAAATAATTGAGGTATAAAATTCGTAATAAGAATTTTAAAAAAATTATTTTTGCAACTCTTCAACTTAATTTTATAAGGCATTCAAATACTTATGTGCCGTGAAAATTCTATGTTTTTTTTTTATATTTTGTTTAAATTATGTAGGCAACGTTTTATACTAAGTCGAAAGTTTTTCGTATTTTGTTATTTGTAAGCTCTACTGTAATATACCGTAAAGGATCTTTTCCCTTCATTGTATATTTATTTTAAATACATGACGTAGAAGTCAAAGTTATACTAGTGGAATACTTTCGTTACCAACTATGAGTGCGAGCGATGGATACAAAATAATTGGACTTGTGCCGCTCTTTACAAGCAGTATTATAAAGTGTAAAACTGCCTTAAATTAAAGCAAATGATCATATGCACGAAGCAGGAATGGTTGTCTAATGGTAAGTAAAAGATACATATGAAAAATAACGTATCGTACTCTGTCACTTGGTATGTATCTTTAGTATAACATTTATTAAAGATCGACGAACTCATTTGTTTCAATTGTTAACAATTTCGAAAAGTAGAAATAAAAATCGTCGAAAGTTTTTGATAAAAATTCGATAATTCAGCAACAAATAGTTGTCGTTCTTATAATTTTCAAAAAAATTGAAACCTTGTAATCGTCAATCCCTAAATAATTTTATGCATTTTCAAAATCTTGTTCCTTTTTTGATTACAGCTAGTTCGGTTTGGCCTGAATCGTCCACACCGACAAGCACTGCAACAAAAATTCATGTACAAGAATGCTGTCGGAAAATACAATGAGAGCTCTTTAATTTTCTTTACATTTTCTACTATTGATTTTCTTTTTACTTAAAAATACAGTGAAATAAACCACAAAAACTTATGATCAAATGAAATATGTAGTCATTGTTTTATTGTCCTCCAACGTATCGATAAGATTTTCGACGCGTCAAGTCGTTCTGCCCCCATAAATCGAAAGTGTTGTCGATGCTTGGTAATCGATCAGAAAATTTGATTTCAAAGGTAGTAGAGGACGAGGTCGTGGGCCGTCACTATATCGCCACAAGGGACCTCGCTGTTGGAGAAACCATTATCAGAGAGCCACCATTGTTCTCTGGCTCCGGTTGGACTCCCGTTCCCATATGTCTGGGGTGCAACTTGGCGCTGAAGGAAGAAACTGCTGTACCTTGCGCGAGATGCTCATGGCCTCTTTGTGCCACCTGCATAGACCATGGACCGGAATGCCATTTCATTACTACTCGATGTTACGGAAAGGTGACTATTATATTAAAGAACTCAAATTCTGGCACACTGTTATTGGATTGTTCCGAAAGTTTGTAGCGGTTCTTCAAGTGACCTATTTATTAATAGATTGGAATAATAATAATAATAATACTAATTAAATATAATAGTAATAATATAATAGTAGTAATATAATATAATATTAATTATATAATATATAAATAAATGTATAATAATATATATATATATATATATTATTATATATATTATATATATATATATATTATTATATATATTATATATATATATATATATTATATATTATTATATAATAATATAATAATAATAATAATAATAATAATATAATAGTAATCTATTATTCAATGATAAATAATCGACACAATAAAAGTAAACTAAAATGCCTGTTTCCATCGTTAACAATAATGAATGTAGTAGATGTAACAAATAAGCCCGATGGAAAAAATTGATTAAAAGTTCTTACTCCGAAATGAGATCGGTATGAGAATGGGTATGAAATTGGTAATTTGTTCTACTTTCCCGGTATCTTTGAGCTAATTGTAATTAGTAGACTCCAGATTTTTATGCAAAATAAGAATTGCATCCATTAATTGCATGGTGGAAGAGTAACGTAAAATTTCCATTACTTTCCTTAATAACTTCAATGAACTAAGAATAATGCAACGACGTTTCGAAATTTTTTAAATGTTTTTTTTCTATTTTGCAATTGATCCATTCATTTTTAACAAAAAAGCATAAAATCCGTCTATGTATAAAATCCACAAAGTAAAACACCGAATGAAAATTCCGTCTACGATTGGATAATTTTTGGTCAGACATTAGTTTCTTTTAAACAACTATTATCCATTTTTTTATATAGGTTAAATCATTGAAAAATGAATACGTAACCTCATCTTACAATTAGACAAATTGAATAGTATATAGCCGCGGATTGCATTTTCGCTGAGGAAAAAGTTATTTTAAATGACTTCAGGAACCNGAGGACAAATTCTTTATTATTTCTTGATCGCTATGACTCTGGAGCTTCATGAACTTTTTATATGTGCTGGGTTTGGCTTTTTTCATAGAATATATTCTTATAACATCCATACATTGATAAGTATCGGGTATGTAGCAGAGCTCGGCGATCGAATCCTGCAACATCGACGAAGTGACAATAATTAAGTGACTTCTGAATACAGTAGAACCTCGATTATCCGAGCTAAGCAGAGTGACGTAAATGTTCGGATAATAGAACAGTTACTTAGATAAAGTGCCAGATATCAACTTTATTGATTTGTACAATAAATCGTTTTGTGTATGATTCGACTTTGATTGAGCCGATTACAGGTGAAAAGTATTTAAATGACGGATGATTCTGATATTGGATATTATGTAAATTTTTATTATATTTTACATATACATATATTTATATATTTATATTATATTATATATTTATATTATTTGTATTATTATTTATATTTATATTGTATTAAATTCCTATTATATTCTACTTCTAGAGAAAGTATACAGGGTGTCCTAAAGGTTATTCAAAATTGGCAAATAAGGGGTTCCTGAAGTCATTTAAAATAACTTTTCCCTCAGCGAAAATGCAATCCGCGGCTATATACTATTCAATTTGTCTAATTGTAAGATGAGGTTACGTATTCATTTTTCAATGATTTAACCTATATAAAAAAATGGATAATAGTTGTTTAAAAGAAACTAATGTCTGACCAAAAATTGTCCAATCGTAGACGGAATTTTCATTCGGCGTTTTACTTTGTGGATTTTATACATAGACGGATTTTATGCTTTTTTGTTAAAAATGAATGGATCAATTGCAAAATAGAAAAAAACATTTAAAAAATTTCGAAACATCGTTGCATTATTCTTAGCTCATTGAAGTTATTAAGGAAAGTAATGGAAATTTTACGTTACTCTTCCACCATGCAATTAATGGATGCAATTCTTATTTTGCATAAAAATCTGGAGTCTACTAATTACAATTAGCTCAGAGATATCGGGAAAGTAGAACAAATTACCAATTTCATACCCATTCTCATAACGATCTCATTTCGGAGTAAGAACTTTTAATCAATTTTTTCCATATAGCTCAGCGATGTACGCTGCTTTGACTTGACGAAGCGCATCTTTGAATAGGAATATGCGCAGAAATAACTTGATTCGAACATACCTTAATAAAATTTTGACAATTAAATTGTAACGTACGGAGAATTTTCCGACGCGTTTTTTCTTACTCCTTCCTGAAGGCGTACGCCAGGCTGGCGCCAACCGACGGGCTCCGCTTTGTATGTACTATATCGTGAGTCAAGTACCTTCCAAGGGGTGCGATGACGAACCTTTTGGAAACGGGGCATATATGGACACCCCCACTACTGTTTTTTAAGAAAATTAGTTTCGAGTCAGTTAATGGCGAAGAAACGCTAGCGAGATTGAGTCTGATTCTCTTCTGAATATTTCAACCGAGTACGTACATCGTTACAAGGTATAAACCTTCGCCTAACCAGTGCGACAAACTGGGATCACGATCTAGAATCTGCGATACACACATACACATACAATTGTATTAGACTGAGAGTTTGTAATATACTATCTTTTACCAGCCAATCAAGTTGTCAAATTCAATTATTCCATTTCCTGATTCAAAGCAGTAGTTGGTACAAACCCACGGAGACCCTTTACCGCTCAAGGTGTATCTTCATTTCTTCTTTGTAAAAGAAACGGAGCACCCAAACTCTAATTTCCATCAATCCATTCCTCTTACCTAGTGGTAACCCATTGATGAAAGAAGCTTCGGCTAATCCACGAAACATATCCTGATTACCTAGTGGCGACCCGTTGATGAAAGAAGCATCGACTAGTCCACACAAGTTCCTTATCAAAATTCCAAGATGGTATCCAACCTCCGGCCTCGCAAAGCTGCCTGGCTCTCAGCACGTAACAAAATCAAAAACTGTTTTTAAGATTTATTTTCCATATTAATCGTCGATCATATTCATTCTTATTTCAGGATGTCTGAAGGATTTTTATCAAATCATATTTTTTATAACTTGAAATAATAAGTAATTTAACCATGACAGCCGTTTTAATTTTCTAGTATGCATGACACCTCGTGTGTATACGATATTTCTTATTGATAATATTTTTCATATTTCTCTAATAAACAAATCCTTTAAGTCCTTTAACGCGATTATTTATTATTAAATCAGCTTTGCGAATCATTCGTTGAATTCTGTTCGGACACGGAATTATTTAAATTAAAATATCATTTACGAACTTTGTTAATCTCCACTGTACACCTTGCATACAAATTTCATATGGTACATATGAGGTGTCATGCACACCAGAAAATTAAAACGGCTGTCACGGTTAAACTACATATTATTTCGGGTCCGAAAAATTAGTAAATATTCTTCAGACGTTCTAAAGTAGAGGTGAGTCCGTCCCGACCATCTGTCAAAGCCTCGTGCTGCGGGCTCTCGAACTTCGCGCCGTCACCTCTCATTGGTCAGTGTTTTTCGTTAATAACTCGTAAACAAAGCCGCGGATTGCATTTTCGCAAAGGAAAAAGTTACTTCAAATGACCTCAGCTACCCCTCATTTTTGGCTGTTAAAATAATTGTGGAACACCCTGTAGAGGCATAGGAATAGCACATGGACAAAGTAAGTAAGCTGCCATTAGTGTGAATTTACTGCATGTGCAAAAATATAATTGACATAAAATATGCATATTTCCTAATCTAAATAATTACCAAATTATCAGAGTTAAAAATATCGAATTTCTATAATCGATATTCTCTAAAAGGAATCGGGAAAAATCGATACTTCTATTAAAAGCAAAGTTTACGTAATTTTTAGACAAATGCTAAAAGCCATTAATAATCATAAGCATTAATAAAGCTACTTATTCATGAGATGCCTAATAACTAGGAAGTTGGTATCTCGATCGCGTTCAAAAAACGTTCAAAAGAGAAGGATGGAGAGTTAAAGAGAGCCCAGTTATCAAGTTAGTATTGTCGACCTTCAGACTGGTACATACAGTGGGTAAAAAAAGTATTCGCATACTTTTTGAAACGCAATAACTTTTTTAAAACTGCACTAAATGACTTGAATTTTGTTTACATGATAGAGGGGCTAGTATACTACACAACGACTAAAATGCTTTTTTTTAATTTTGCTATTATTTGAAATGAATTAAATAAATGATATATAAACAGGCGGCTGTTTTGTGTATATTACCGACCCAGGTAACACGAGCAAAAACTGAGTGATCGATCGCGATTACGTTTTTAAAAGAACGATTTGAATTTCAAACAATTGTTAACTGAATCAAATTAAATTAATTGTTTAAATATCAATTGAATAAACTATAATTCCCTTATTTCAACTATTATAATTTTCTTCAATCTTCTAATGAATTAAAATGTTCATGATTTTCGATGATTCACTTTTTTAATCAATCAATGTTCCAACCTAGAACAAGAATAATTTATAATTTGTTTCTAAGTAAAAGTTCCAATGTAAATAATTAACCGTTTAATAGTACTTTTTATATAATACTTATTCTTAATCATACGTACACATTTGTGCCAGTTACGATTATAAAATTACACAAATGCTTATAAAATTATACAAACTCTTTAACTATTAATATAAAATAAAATAATTCACATACGGTTTTTTCTCGTTATGATTTTGATTCGCACAAACGATTAGTGTTCCGCTTTGAGATTTTTAATGTACATTATATTTATACATGTGGCGTCACCACTTCCGGCTTGCCCAGAACGAAATGCTCCTTTCTTTTCCTCCCCGATCTTCTTTATCTATAGATCCGTCCCCAACTAAGTTTGTAGACATTACAAAAATATCAATTAATAACCTTAATAATATTTCAGATAGTCTACACGTTTTTTGTTACCATATGTACCATATGCTGGTTCTGTAGATAAAGAAGGGCATGAGGGAAAAGAATGGAGCATTTCGTTCTGGGCCCACCGTAAATGGTGACGCCACATGTGTTCATATATATATATATCTATTGAAAATTTCAAAATGAAACATTAACTGTTTGTGCGA